AATTCTTGGGTGTTTGTTATATGAAAAATGTTTGGCATGAAAATTAATTCGATAGTCAATTTTCTCCATTGATTGGTATGAGATTGCCTATTTTAGCAATGTCCAGAGGCAATTTAGGATTTAAAATTGATGGATTCGACCTTTAAATTTTATTAATGAACATATATTGCACTTTTGTAATTATGAATTGGACTGTAATATTTATGTGAATGTACTTTGACCCAAATGTTTTTAGGTTTAATATAGAGGATTAAATTTTAAAAACCAAATAAAAAAAACTAAAGAAGGAAAAAAACCTCATCAAGAATCTTATTTAAAAATCAGAAAGATAAAGCTAGGAATGGAAAGAGGATAAGAAATCAGAAAAAAGGCTGTATTGATACAGAGTTCCACAATGCAATAAAATGGAAAAAAATGCACAGACTGAAAGATGGCATAGCTGACAACCCAAAAAGGAGAATTATAGTAAAAGAAAAAAATATGCAATATAATAAAAACAAATCTTTAAGGATTTTGGTTATGCAAAAATTGGACAAAAGAAAAGGATACATTAATTGATGTGGAAGTGGAAGACACTTAAATTAAGAGGAATTAATAATCCCTTTACCCTTAATCAGATTTTCGTGTTTGAGTTTTGAGAATGAAAAAATATCCATTGGGAGGTTATACGAAAAGAGTTTAAGTTTTTTGCCCTAATGATGTAAAAATTATTTAGACAATTCAAGTAACTTATTAGGTAATTACATGTGAATTACTTAATAAATATTAATTAATAATCTGGTAAAAATCACAAGTACTCTGTTATTACATGTTAAAATTTGGGGCATTTGCATCTATACCCGCTTTTTGTGCCACATTTTAACCTGTGCCCGCTTTGCAAAAAAAATTGCAAGCGTACCCGCTTTTTCGCATAACTTCAGCACACGGGGCTGAAGTAGCAAAGGCAATCACACAAAACTTCAGCATTTTAGTAGCCGGGCCTGAAGTTCAGCTCTAGAGCTGAAGTTTTTGTTTTGTAACTCGCGAACTTCAGCTCTAGAGCTGAAGTTTTATTTTATAAGTTTTTGTTTAGTAACCGGGCTGAAGTTTGCCAGTTATAAAATAAAAACTTCAGCTCTAGAGCTGAAGTTTCCCGGTTACAAAGACAAATTTTTCTTTTGTACTGGAAAACTTCAGTTTGTCTTTGTAACCGGGAAACTTCAGCTCTAGAGCTGAAGTTTTTGTCTTTGTAACCGGAAAACTTCAGCTCTAGAGCTGAAGTTTCTATGTTGTAACTAGAAAACTTCAGCTCTAGAGCTGAAGTTTTTGTGTTGTAACTGAAAAACTTCAGCTATAGAGCTGAAGTTTTTGTCTAATTAACTTCAGCTCAGGACACCAAGAAGATACAGTTACATCTAATTAACTGTATTGTGATCATCTAATGCATCCGATTTTGCGTTCTGTTTTTATTGCAAAATAAATGCTTTGTTGTTATGTTATTTCGTTTTCGAAAACTTTTCTTTTTATCATTTGAATCTCTGATCGCTGATGATCAATTTCTCCATTTTCTTTATGGTTTCTATGTTTTATCTATATTACAACATATTTGATTTTCGTGTTGCTGTTTTTTTGTTGGATAAAAATTGGTGCCTTTTTCTGATCAATGGTATGACCATATCATTCCTCAGTCCTCACGGAGTTGTGTTTCCAGACAACGAGAAAATGAAGAAGGAGAAGGGGAGGAGAAAAGGAAGCTGAAATTTTTTAAAAAGTGGGTACGGGTGCAAACAGAAAGACAAAGCGGCTACAGGTTAAAAAGGGGCGCCGAAATAGGGCGCCCCGTGCAATTTTTACTTAAAATTTCCTTATTGTGTAAAAAGCTTTACAATGTCGATATATGTAAGGAGTTTTTACACAAAATAGTCGATTGTATTCGTTGGTTACTTTTTTAGCCGGTTATACACATAATGTACATGTATTATACATATATTATATATTTGCCGGCTATTTTTAATTTAAGAGATTCAGTTGACGACTAATTTATTTAGAATAAAGAAAAAAAGAAAAAGGGATATGGATATATTATACTTAGGAAATGTATGTCTTTCTTCTGCAAACATTTTAGCCTTTGTCTGGGGACATATTATTATGGGCAGCTACAAACTAATGGGGTCAGAGACATTTATTTGTCCTATTTTGTCACTTAGTAAACTTATTTTCTAAAGTATTGTTCCAACTCCAATGGTCTGCACGTGGTTTATTATAGAAAAATCATAAAGTTTGATCTTTGTAAATTTTCAATCTTCTATTTATGCTGAAAATGTGGAGCTTTAGTTTTATGGACGACACAATATGCTTTAAGGAGAAAAATAATATTTTCTAGCATTAATTAAGTTGACCATAAAGTCAGTATCTTATGATAATTTTTAAAGATATTGCATAGGATATTGGATGTCGTTTGGAGATAGTAGATGCAGATTCAAGACTTAAGGTTAAAGAGTATGATATTATTTTATGCACATGTACAACAGCAAACAACGACGATAACATACCCAATATATTTCTACAAGTAGATCTGGGAGGATATATAGTATGTACGCAGATCTTATTTAAAGATATTGCATAGGATATTGGATGTCGTTTGGAGATAGTAGATGCAGATTCAAGACTTAAGGTTAAAGAGTATGAAATATTATTTTATGCACATGTACAACAACAAACAACGACGATAACATACCCAGTATATTTCTACAAGTAGATCTGGGAGGATATATAGTATGTACGCAGATCTTATTTAAAGATATCGCGTAGGACATTAGATGTCATTTGGAGATAGTAGATGCAGATTCAAGACTTTAAGTTAAAGAGTATGAAATATTATTTTACGCACCTGTACAACAACAAACAACGACGATAACATACCCAAAATATTTTCACAAGTGAGTCTGGGGAGGGTAGTATGTTCGCATATCTTATTTAAAGATATTGCATAGGACATTGGATATCTTTTGGTGATAGTAGATGCAGATTCAAGACTTTAAGTTAATGCACTTGTACAACAACAAAGAACGATGATAACATACTTGATGTATTTCCACAAGTGGGCCTGGGTAGGGCAGTATGCACGCATATCTTAACCATAAGAGACCATTTCTAGTGGACCCTCCGCTCAATGAAAGCAAAAGCACAACAGTTATGACAAAGAACTATAGAAAGAGAAACAATAACAAGAAATATAACTAAAGCAAAGGCCATGTAATAATAACGATCTAAAAATAGGAAACACAAGGATAACACTAGTACTACATTTATGAAAAAGAAGTACATGTTTGGAAAACAAATATGCTCTACTATTTGCTAACCTATTACCCTAATCCCTCCTATCAAGGATCATGTCCTACACATTAGTGATAATTAATTTAGATTAATATAAACATGCTTTTAAAATGATTCAACCATAATGGCTTATCCTATATGATGTTCTCATTCTCTTGGATTAACCTCACATCCCAATTTTTACTTTGAGAAATTGTGTTCCTAATGGAGTAATTTTGGATGCTGTATGGGCCTATTCAAATGGACTTTTGGGTCAAGTGGTGGAGTGTAAAAATTGTATGGGCTAGCAATTTTTCAGACCGTTGTTTTCCAAAAATAGACTGCTTTTATAAGTAGCCACTTTTTAATGTGAAAACACCATAATTGTGTCATGAATTTCAAACTTAAAAAAAGTAAAACTACATTCATCCACTTTGTCCAGTATATTGCCATGGAGTTTCACTTTTTAAAATTCAAATTCCATGACGCTATTTTTCAATGACTTTTGAATATATGGCTTACTTTCAATTAAAAGTCCATAAAATAGTTATTTTTGAACTTTACTCTAAATTTGTTTCTCTTTTTTCTTTATGTCTTGAAGAAATTTTTACAATATCTCGATGGACAATCAAAAACAAAGAAAGGGATCATAAAAATGGAGTCCTTTCAGCAGATAACAGTTTCATACAGTGGTGTTGCCACAAATCTCGTCAAGGGTGTTTAAATTTTAAGAAGTCGATAATATTAGCGATGAATGAGTGTTTAAATCAAAGTACACAACATTTAGCTAAATAATTAAAATACTTGTAATAGAACTATAATTTTATAAATCAAAACTAACATAAAACATGACTAAAAATATTTATTAATAAAAGTAAGCATAAAATCAAAGAAAATTAAGAGTCGAGAAGTCCGTAATATGTAATGAGATTGACTTTTAAATTGTAAAATTTATTTTAGAAGCAGCATTTTTGATTAGTTGTTTATTTTTATACAAATTTTAATTTTTAAGAGTTATTTATCAGGATTTTTTTAAATTGGAAAAGAGTCAAATAGACCACATATGATGGTCTCCATTTTATTTTGGTAAACAAAATTATCAAATAAAAATGTTTAGATAGGGATTTAAACCCATGAATAACACCTAACTTTAAACACCCTAAATCGCTGGATTACTTCACTCAACTGTTTTAAGGTTGTTCAAAATATAATATATAGCCATATAAAGTACTAATATTTAACCTATTTCACTTGAACACTCTTCGCATAGAGTGACTACGCCACGCCACAACAATAGAATTGTCACCATCTGACCTATATAGGTCACGAGTTCAAACTATAAATCAACTACTATTGTAAGCTATAAATCAACTACTATTGTAAGCTGCCTATATCACACCTCTTGAGATTCATTCCTTCCCCGGCCCTGCGAGAACACAAGATGCTTCGTAAACCGAACTGCCCTCTTTATTTTTAAACAACTGGGAATGAATGGAAGTATATTTACCCTCTTCAACTCTTTCACTACAGGCCCAAGATACCCTACATTAGCTCTAGTTTTAGAGTTGATAGACCTAAATTCACAGCTAATAGAAGAGTTTTTTTCCTATTGTTCATGCTGTTGTTGTTGAAGAGCTAAAATCAGTGTGTGTTCATTCATACTGTTGTGGTTAAAGCTATAGCTCAAATTTGAAAAATGAAACACAACCATATAATTGCAGCATGAGATTTATTGATAAGATTTAGAAGAGCATAAATAGCAATTGCTTTCCAACTTTATCAATTCAGTTAAAAATAAAGATTTAAAGCATTTGCAGCACACACAAGCTGAGATGACATTCATCAACAAAGAGATGTATACTATTTAACCAAATAGAATTCTTCCATTTCGACGATCTCCTGAATCCTTCTAATCCAAGAAACAACTTCAGCGCGGCAACGTTCGGAAGACGAGGTTTCCTCCTCCATTTCCTACACCTGAAAGTGACCACCAAAAACCACTTTCAAATTGTTGAAACTTTCCCAATAAAAAGGTATACAAGCAGAAAAATGAGTTATAACCATAGTAGCATATGTTCTTGGTACCTACAGTGGGTAACAACAAAGAGGAAGAGCAAGCAAACACATGTTTGTGCCAAACTAATTTTCTGGTGTTGGTCGTCGACGCAATCTCCCAAGGCGCCGCCAGGGACCTGACCCTCCATCAGACTGTTCATTGTCGTCATCTCTAGATTCAGTTTCCCCATCATAGGTCTCACCCCAAAGTCTTCTTGAAGGTCGTCTCCTACCAGTTGCCTGAGCCCGAGTCCTTGAGGAGCCTGACCAGCTACTACTACCAGAATTACTCCTAGGTTGGAGAATCCGAACAAAAAGAAAAACAGTCAGCAAACCACCACCCTCATCGAAGGTTAAACTGGTGCTCTCACTTCCCTCTTCTCCAACAGAAGACTGCAATGTACTGAGTAAATCTCCTAAATCTCTCTGCCGCTCCAATCTCCTCCAATTACGCTGCCTCTCTGGGTCAGTTTCTGTAGGCCGTACAAGTGGATGCTCCTGCCTAGCATGCTTACGCAAATCTGTATATGTGCCACTGAATTCGCACGTCTCGCTAGAGCAGCTTCTTAATTTTGCATTCATGTAACGACGGGCAGAGTCCACAACAATCCAATCATTTATCTGGCCACGGCAGAGAGGGCATTGCATCTTTTTCATTTCATGGTTCTCCCAAGACAAGGCACCTAGGGATATAGAACCACCTTCAGTTCTTTCACCTGGCATATCAGACAGAGCTTCTGTTATCACTGTGGTAGATTCCGCGATAGAAGCTGAAGCTGGGATCTCCACTTGCTGTGTTGTTGATGCTGAAGCTTCTTCAAATGACTTTTTGAACTGGTCAAAACAATTTGAATGCCTATAGCTTGTATCACACATAAAAGGACGGCAGCCCTTCTCGTGAGAAGTGCACAAAAGGAGAATAGCATTATGAGGATGTTCCATACACACTGGGCATCGGGCATCTTCCCAGTCTTTCACATTTTCGTCGTTTTCCAAAGGGTTTTTGGATGACGGTTGTTTTGAGTGACTCGAGCTACAAGGGTAAGGAGAAGCTCTACTCCTATCAAAAGAAACAGATCTATCTCTTCTCTCTTTAGGCATGTTTAGTTTCTATATGAATATAGAACAACTGTCAAAGGACAAAAGATAATGTAAGCGATGCTGAAAATAAAAATCTAAATTTTTTTTCCTAAAAACCGATATAGAAAAAATAACAAGTGTATGCAAGCTACAAATTCATGGAGTGTCATAAAGGATAATAGAATTTGTGGGTGTATTCGAAGGTCATTACATAAACCAGGAACTAAAAATGAGCCTCAACACACATCAGGAATTAACGACACATATAACAGTTGGTGACTGAAAATTGAAGTATGACAAAAGCATAAACTAAGCCAGAACTAAAACATACCCCTAAAACAGTACAACCAACTTACCAAAAAACAATTGACATCATATAACAGTCAACAATCAGCATAGCTTCAAATCCCAAATTAGATGGAGACTCATGAATTCCATGCATCAACTCCTCTCTATTCGGGTCCGTCCCATTCCAATACTAGTAAACAATTTTTCTTTTAAAACAATTAAGAGTGTTCTAGACCTAAGATATCTGTTTCTCACGGTAACTCTGATGCTGAGATACAATTTCTAACCAGGCAAACAGATACCTGGCGAGCACCATATCTAATGTAAGTATAACGAAAAAACCTAAACCAAAATTCAAACTATTAGGTATTGCCATCATTTGCTTGTATTGTGCCAAATGTGCATCTACCGGAGTGAATGTTAGTGTAACCATCCTTCCTGGGATTTTAGGTATATAAAATCCTTTTAGTACATCAACCATCATCGTGTCGCACCGATGCACATAGGTCTGCTTGGAGGTCTCTGTGGAGACATGAACAAGCATTTCAAGCTATCTACTCTCATTTTATCCTCTATGTATGCTACTTGCATCCTCCATCTGATACAATCATCACTAAACCATATACCCAAAAAGTATTTGTAAAAAGTTCCATAAAATTGAAAAAGAGCGGATTGCAGCATAAAACCACTGGACCACACAGCTTTAGTATTCAACACTCCTTGAATATCTCAGGAACATTGATGTTCCACATTGCCACTAAGTTTGCAAAACATGAAAAGAACATAAGGGAAGCCAGTAATGTCAAGGTGAAAAGGCTCTTTAAGCCAAATGAATTAATCTCCTCCTGAATTTATCCAGAGCCATGAAAAAGCATCCTGCATCTAATCCGAAAAAAATTGTGCTCGTTGGAAAATCCCATCTGCAGTATGCGTCAACATTGTAACACCCAATAGATATATCTTCACTCTCAATTAATCAATAGCCATTAATTAGGGTGACAGCTCACATATCCTGACCAAATATTTTACATTGTATGGTTCAGGATGCACATAAAATAAATGCATGGTAACGTCTTTCACAGCAATCTATCTTGCAAGAACCATCAGCAGATATTAATTCCCCTCAGCCATGCAACTAACAACACGGAAGTTCGGTTTCCCACCAAACTCCTCAGCATAATGCATTTGGGTGAGGTAATCTGTTGAAACATAAGAGAACAATATCCCATATTTTCACTAGCATCAGCCCAAACCGAAGGGAGCATCCATCCTCACATGTGACTCACCATAAGCAAAAGCCGAAAGTCTACAACATACGAAGGCTTCAAAACTCAACAAAAATTTCTAAATCAATTTTTTTCCGTCATATTGATACTGATCCATTTGGGTATATCATTTATTTGCACTCCAGAGGTTATTTTTCCCTCAAAACAACAACTACTACACCTCTTTTCCCTCAAAACAACAACTATACACCTCAATCGCAAACAAGTTGGGTCGGCTATATGAATCCTCACTGACCACATTACTCTACTTAAACTCTTCTTCCTCAATACACCGAATATAAAGTACAAAACTTGTTATGTTACTCGTGTCAAATACATTTAGTACACCAATTTACTTTATCTAAAGTTTCCAAGTTCCTGTTGTCAAAACCAATCTCCTATACCAATTCACTAATCTACCAACAGTTCTGCATATGATAAAGTAAATATAATCAAAACCAACAAGCTTCATCCACCAGGAAACAACCCATACCAACCAACATTCACAGAAAAGAACAAATCACTAACAATCATATCATGTGTAATTACATTCCATCAACTTAAAACCCAGTGACTATAATCAATGATTGGATCAGAAGAAATATAATCAATAATCTATTACCATTTCTCACTTTCCTTCTCCAACAAGTTCACAACTTCGCAACATATTTCAGCTTGAAACATTAGCTGAAGCGTTTCTTCTATTTAATAATCAATACTTAAACGACCATAATCCTCAAAAAAACTTCAGCTCAGAACATTGATCTCAAGCAATCCACCAATTAAAAGAAAAACCCAATTTAGAAACAGAACCAAAACCTAATTCCAATTAAGTGAACAAAGCTAAAATCTTTGACAAGATTCAGCTCAAAACAGTGAATTCAAGCACATATCTTATTGGAAAAGGTCCTAATTTGACCTCAAACACCATTCCAATTTGAAGCCCTAATTTCGACTTCACCATACAAAAACAAATCCAATTTACTGAATAAATCCTAAAAAAAATCAAAACCCACATCTAAAACCAAGCACTTATCCGATTAAAAAGGCCTAATCTTTACTTCAAACACAAAACTCAATTCAAATTCATCGAACAAACACTAAAACAACAGAAACCCAGATCTAAAAACGAGCTTAAGCAATCGATATACAATCACAAGGCAGTTTAACGCCATAAATAGATAAAATAAACAGATCAAATAAATAAATAAAACTTCGCCGCAAATTAATATCTATCTTCCGTTAACGCTTTACCAGAAGTTTACAGAGACCGATCTGAAACACAGCTAACCAAAAACTTCTTTGTGATTTGATAGTCTGAAGAAGATGAAGAAATTATTTTGAAACCCTAAATGTTGAAATTTTGAAAAGGCTGCAGCTGAGTTGAAGCTGCTCCTTTGACTATTCGATGAGAATGAAAAGACTACAAATTTAAAGGGGTAAGGCGGTATTTATATGAAAAAGTAGGGACTTGCTGAGATGGATGCTGACGTGTCAGAGTAATGTTCGCTCAAATTTTGAATAATTTTTCGAATTTTGAAATTTTTAATAATTTCGTTTCAGGAAAAAAATTTAATAACGTTGATTGAGTCGGCGCCGTTTTATTTCTTGTTCCGGAGTTATGGCGCGTAGCAGCACGCACCAGATGCCTGATTGAGTGAATTATTTTTTGTAGGTATGAATAATAATACATGAAAAAAAAAAGCATGAATAATAATGTGGTAGTATTATACGTTGAATAATATTACACGATTTTTAATAATAGTGAATGATTATTAAGTAAGATAGCTTGCTTTATAACTAATTTTGTTTAAAATATGGAATTTTGACGGACACATGATTAGTGAGATTTAATATAATCGAACTCGTAAGACTTTAATATTAATGTTAATATTCATATTTTATTAAGTATGTAAAATAATATATACTAGATTTTATATTTTGATTCTAATATAAGTTATGTTGTATTATAAATGATTTCTTTTTTATATTAAAGTTGCATAAATATATATAGAGTTTAATATTGGAAACGAAATGTTTAATTAATTATGCTAAGATTATAATATTGAAATATAGTATAAGTAATATTTGACGTCAAACATATTACGATAATGGGGAAAACTGAAATTTAATTTTCTTTATCCCTCGAATTAAAGGACCTCTTAACTCAGGGACAGAGGTAGTGTATTGTTTACGCGTCCGGAAGAACCTGATAGCTTTTGTTTAGATACTAATTTTATATTAAAAAATTCATAAAATATAACTAATTATTTATATCTCTTCTTCTATTAATATATGCCAATCACTTCCACCAAAAAGAGAAAAAAAATCCTATTTAGTAGTTTTTTTTGTGGTCACAGAATGACCTAAAAGTCACTTTGTGATTAAATAATGTGTAGTTTTATCCCCAACAACAAATGCAAGTAACCCGCTTTGCATATGGGATGTGTCATGACTCATGACCCTTTATTTTATGAGAAGTTCGTTCAAAGTACCTACCCCATATTCTTTTCTTTTTATTATATTATTTTAGGAAATTTTACCTTCTATAGCAAAGGTCGATATCTTATTTATTATAAATAAATATTCTTTTAAAAAATTATCTCCTATAGCTATCTTTTAATTCCTCCACCTTGTCAGTGGACATGGTGGAGGAATTAAACTGTAACAGGTGACCATTACTAGTTTTATCGCCACCTTATTCTCCAGTGACCCCCCTTATTTCAGGCATCATGACTGTTTGATGGCTAACTTTTGGTCTCAAACTAGTGTACCATAAATCAGTTCATGTTTGCCTTGTGAGATCTGAAGAAGTTTTGTCTCTAGTTTCCGTTTGATCCTTTAAATTGGTGCTTCTTCAACAACTGTCTTCATTTAATCGGCGGCGACGCCCCACATGGCGGCGGCCTGGATATCGGTGGATCGGGGACGGAGTTTGGGGCTGAGGAACTTGAAGACCCTATTACCTTTTTTTTCATTGTATTTCAATGTATATCGCGTTGTATTCCATGTATTTCATTGTATTTCACTGTCTTTTTCCATTGTATATCAATGTATCTCGTTGTATTCCATGCATTTCATTGTATTCACCGTCTCGTTGTATTCCATGAATGTATTCATATATTTTTTTTAATTAATATAATTTATATATTCAGATGTATATATGTATTCAAATGTATTTGCAGTATGTATTCGTATGTTTTTTCACTATAGATGACCTGCTATACTTCATGTATTCAATGTATTTTTATGTATTTAACTGTAAATGTAATTATATAATTTCAATATATAAATCTATTTGTAAAGATACCACTAAAAAAGAAATGATGAATTGAATCTCTGAAGATTGCTCTGTTTTTTAGGTGTTTTTCGGTTGAGAATCTTTTCTATAACTGGAAATACAAATTTTGTGTGTTATAATTGAGTTTGTTGAGTTATATTAGGAGTCTATCGCGTTAATTGATTCACTTACCGTTTTTAAACAGCTGAAGACCTTTTTTCGCAAATTTTGTTACTGTATTCACGAATACAGCTCGCGAATACATTCTCTGCTTAGTTGGACTTCCCTGTTTTCTGCCGAGTTTTGCTACTGTATTCATGAATACAATAACAAAAATACATTTAATACAGTCTATAACAACTTAAACATAGCTATAGGAAGTAATTTAGTAAATGGTAACTATAGCAAGCTAATAATCACTAAACGCATAGTGATTTCTGAAAATTTCTCTATAATTTATACATATTCGATAAATTTTTTAAGCAAATTCAAAATTTGGACCCAAACATGTGATATAAATTCTAGCTCTGCCTCTGTAGTACAAGATAGCTCTTCTTTTGGTAGTGGCAGGCCTATTCACACAGGCCGATCCAGAATTCGAGCGCGACGAGGGCACTAATATTTTCACATATGCCAATTAGTAGCGACATAGTTCGGCGCGCAACTCTTTAAAAATATAGCAATTATGATAGCTTGTCATCAAAGTGCAAACTCTTAGTTGTCGTTGTCAAAGTCGACATATGTTACTACTTCCTCCAAAGTGATTGTTGAAGGGAGAATGAAGAGTTTGTATTTTTTTACTTGTTAAGAGAGGAGCTACACCATCCCCTCCACCCTACCCCCACCTTAAATAAAAATATTATTAATAGTACTTTATTTTCATGTTATAGATAGATTTTTTTTTTCATTTCAACAAATAATTTTTTGTATGATATAAAAAGTATTTTTTTTCATTTTTAACCAAAAAAATACTTTCTTTTAATGTAGAAAAAGTATTTTTTTTCATTTCAACAAAATATTTTCCAGTCCCAACCAAACAAGGAAAAATAAGTGATAAATGTAACAGCCCGGCCCGCTAGTGATATTGTCCCCTTTGGGCCTAGGCCCTCACGGGTTTAAAATGTGTCACTAGGGTTTAAGGCTTGTTAAATTATATACCCAGCATCCCTCTTGTTTTTTGCCGATGTGGGACTCTGTCTAAAGTCTGGGGTGTTACATACACCCCCTCTTATGGACTCAGCGTCCTCGCTGTGGTTTGCCCCACCGCATGGGATTTGCCTAGAATCAGCATTGAGGTTTGTCCCACCTAACCGGGATTTTTCTAAACTCAGTTGAACTCTGACCCACATCGGCATGGCTGACACAAGAGTGGCTCTGATACCATCTGTAACAGCCCCGCCCGCTAGTGATATTGTCCGCTCTGGGCCTAGGCCCTCACGGGTTTAAAACGCGTCACTAGGGTCTAAGGCTTGTTAACTTATATACACAGCATCCCTCTTGTGTTTTGCCGATGTGGGACTCTGTCTAAAGTCTGAGTTGTTACAATAAACCACTCATTTTCTAGAAAAATATTTTCCTTCGTACCAAACACACCCTTAAAGTGGTACTAAATTATAATATAATTCAAAAAAGATAAATTAATAATAAAAAGTAAACCAGTTGACTATTAAGTAATGGTTTGAATCAATAAAGTGAAGCAAAAACGTTAGTGAATGTGAATAGCTGCCAAGTTTCGATCACATGTCCTCGATGAAATAGAGAACGATCAGCCACATACCCATCCAAAGCTGCGAGCTAACCTTATGTATCTTTAAGGGCACCAATATTATTAAAAGGTCCTCTATGTATACACTGATATATTTGATATATATATATATATATATATATATATATATATATATATATATATATATATATATATATACTAGTCTTAGGATACGCGTATTGCGCGTGTATCCTACATCAATGAGTATAAACTTTTTAAAATTATACAAATATTATTAAATAATGTATTTTAGTTATTAAAAATGTAGTATAAATTTTTAAAAATAATGTATGTCAATTCTATTTAGCTAGCTCAATAAAAGAAGAAATTACTTCCTATTTTAGTCATCGCCTTATTGTAAATTTGTTATATGGGTTAAGTATTTGGTGACGAAACCGATAGAGAGAAGCACAAGGTTGACTTGTATTCACGTTACTCACAATAATATTTCATTCCTTCTAGGACCTTTACGCTTCTCTAAGAAAACAATTTGAAAATGCAAGCTCGAATATTGCAAGTTCAAAAGTGAAATTATTGAGTTTATCTTATTCAAGCTTACCGAATCCATGACGGATATTATGAAAAAGCCCTGGTTGAAGTATGTCCAATTAAAAGTTTGATTAATATTTATTTTTCTCCTTACAAGATTTTTCTTAAGCAAGAAGATGAAGAGTGGTGGCAGAACTTGAATTCACTTCCTTGTGATTTTTTGGATTTGCCTCCAATTACCTAAATTATGCAGTTGTCTTTTCTATTTTTAAAATTAATTAATAGAATATACTTGATATGAAAAAAATTAATTTATAGAAATTTGTAACAATAATCTCTTCATCTGCTCTAAAATTAAATTATTCGAACTTGATATTAATTGTTAAGTGTCCTAACATAATTTTCAAAATTTGATGTTAAGTTAAAGAGTATAATTATGGTGAATAATTGGAGAAATTATATCTAATTTAATATTTATTAGAATGTTCATCTATATTTTTTACACATAAATAATATTTGATTGAAGGATAAAAAGATCGTGTAACTTAAACTAGGCATTTTGAATTATCTATTTACTTTGGATCAAATAATATGTTAGTTGCATATTTTTTTCAAAATTAATATTTACATAACATATTATCTTATTCTACCCACCAAATAGTTTTTATTTTTTTATTTTATAAATGATGTTCTTGATGCAATAAATTCTTCCTTTTTTTCTTTTTCTTGGTCATGACTAATATATTAGTTCTCTTTGTCTAAAAATATTCATATATATTATTATTAGTGTTAGTGACTTATTTAACTACCTCAGCACAACTTTTGTAGTCATCAACATAATTACAATTTGTCTTGACAATATAAGTAAATACCATAACTTATTTTTGGTTT